ATTTAAGAAGAAAAGCAACAGCAAAAAGGTAGTTAAAATAAAGTAATAACAAGGGGTTTTAGAGCAGGAAAACAATAGCTAAAAATCTAGTAAAACTATGATGCCATGTGGCAGCAAATAATGTGGGAATTGAGCAAAAAAACATAACAAATTTCTGGGCAAGTTCTGGTCATATTTTGAATTGGAAGTTCCAACAGAATTTTCATCCATAAATTGACCAATCTGAGCTGAATGGTTAATAGATAAATTGTAACCCTATGTTCACCTTGAAAATAGCTTAATTGAGTTAAATGTCCAATAGAAAAGTTGTAGAGCTATCTCTTAGCTTTCTATAGAATAAAAAATGGACTTAATCTGATAACCACAAAAAGAGTTATGGGCAAAATACTAAAACAAGGTCATGCTGTCAGAATTTAAGCCAATTACTAGGAAATGTTAGAGCAGAAAATAAAGGCTTCTCAACAGGATTTCTGAGCAAAGGAGAGTAGAAAAATAAGCCCAAAACTAAGCTAAAACAGATGGTATTTTAGTATGAGCAACTAAGATAGGGCAGTATTTTGGTGCTAGAAACAACACCCAAAACAGGTTCATACCAGTGCAGAATTTTCACAACCAAAATGGAGCAAAAGGTAGTCAATAGCAAAACAGAAAATCAGCCACCAAAACAAATGCAAACAAGCAACTACAAGGACATAAATTTGTAAAAGAAATTGTGAAACTAAGAAGGCTGGAAATCAATAAGAGAAAATGCAGAAATAGGGCAAGACAATAGAGGAAAGTAGACCAGAATTGAGCAATGGTATGGACAACTAGTAACCAACTTCTTGCAACAAAATTAACATAACAACATCCTAATTAACATGCATATAACAGCAGAATTTGGAAGTTCAAACCCATGGCTCTTACCTAAATGTTTATAAGCCCAAAACTACCACATCAAAGACAAGATCAATGCTAAGAATTTACGTGACAAAACTAGAACTTTCAGCACAAATTCGGACAAATTTAGGGCTGGAAATTCAATAAAGATAGCTGCCTAGTCATGGGTTCAGTGGAAAAATGAAGATACAAAAGAAATATTAAGAAAATATAATTGCAACATGAAAGAACCTTACCCAAACAGCAAAGATGCACCCACTAAATAGTCAAATCATGAACAAGGAAAGGAGGAACAGCTAGCAGCAAAATTTTTTATTAGAAGAAGAAAAAAAAAGCATCATAGAGTGGCTATGAGGTTGATGTCTTCAAGGGTTTTGGATTTAGAATGGAAGAGGAGAGGAAAAACCAGAAAAAGGAGAAGAGGAAAGCCGAAAAAGAGGAGAGAAAACAAAAAAGGGAATTAGGTTTTCCTTTCCCCTTTATTCTATCCGTCCATCCCTTTTTTTTTTGGCTAACATCCCAATACTGAAGAATGACACAACTTGGTTCCCCCAATAAGATCCCCTTTCATATTAATCATCTCACACCTAAATTAAATAAATAAATTATTCAACATAAGTGTTCAAAATTTGGGTATTACAAATATATTAATTTTTTAATTTACTTAATTAATATTATAAACTTAATGTATTAATTAAACAAGACTAGAATCTTAAATTTCATTATTAATTAATGGTTTAAGTACCATTTTGATCCCTCAACTTTTCACTTTAGTACCAAAATTATCCCTCAACTTTAAAAAGTACCAAAATTATCCTTGAACTTTCATTTTTGGTACCAAAATGGTCCTTCCGTCAGTTAAATGTCAGGTGGCTCATTAAGATGCCACAAAATCACTGGCTTTTTTTTTATTTTTAATGACGTGTAAATCTAGTAAAGACATTTTTGACACCCTAGCATTTTTACACGTCAGATTGATTCCCCACTTTTTAGATTCACTTTTTGTGGGGCCCACATGAAAAAAAAATGTTTTCTTTTTCCAGTTTTAGTTGAGTTCCCCAAAAGTGGCAGTTTTCTTCGTCTTTGTTTCTCTTTCATTTCCCTTTTTAGACTCGATTCGAAACCCTAAACCTACAACCTGCTACTTCTGCGAAATCAAAAGTGAATCAGGCTTTAAACTTGTAACCATCAAATCTGTCAATCGAATCTGTTGATATATCCATTCAATGGATGCCGAACCTGGAACTGGGCATACGAACCGTAAGGTACCAGAAGTTATACCCGAAGTCATAGATCTGGAGTCTATGGAGATCAAGGATAAGGTATGTTATGTTTCTTGATTATTTACGTTTCATTCTTAAAATGGCGTTGTTTTTTCTATTTATCTCTGCTTAGCATGTCAGAAAACATGGGAATAGGAAATGGGTCTGTGGGGTTTGTGTGTTACCTTTAGAGAAACAAAGGACATTGGACTTTATGTTGTTTTCTTTGTTTTAAAGTGACATTTGGTCCCCACATTGTTGTCTGTATGTAGATTCTGTATATGACTATGCAGACAGATAAATGCATATATAGTAATTTATTATTATTAGATAATTAATGAACTAAAAGTGGTTGGTTTGGATGCAGCACTACTAATTGTTGAGTATTGATTATCTTTTTATTTTTTATATTGTTGATATGAATAGATTGAAGAAAAGAGTGGTGACTACCTGCCAATGTATATCCACATTGGTGGTGGTTTTAAACACGACCGCAATGGTAACCTTAGATATGTTGATGGGGAGTGTGATACATGGCAAGTGAATCCGGACTTGTTAACAGTTTGGGAGTTTTATGAGAAAGAATTGGTAAATATGATGTTGATCTAGTGGAAGGTATTTATTATCTTGAATCAAACAAATCACTGGATGATGGTTTAAAGCAAATTATTGGAGACGACACAGTTAGGGAAGTGTTCAATGTGATGAAGGGACATGGTGAAGTTCACATATATGTGGATCACATCCCCAACTTTGCTGAAATAGTTCCTCTATCTCCTGTTTTAATGCTCCCAGCACCTGGTGATCCTTTAGAACCTGTTGATGGGGTTTGTAATGATGTTGGTGGTGGGGTTTATAGTGATGTTGGTGGTGGGGTTTGTAGTGATGCTGGCGGGCTTTGTAGTGATGTTGGTGGGAGTAGGATCCATGAGGCTGGTGGGCTTTGTAGTGATGCTGGTGTGAGTAGGATTAATGAGGATGAGGCATTTAATGAGGTTGGTGAAAGGAGGGACAATAACAGTGATGAACATGATGGAATATTTAATGAGGCTGGTAGTTATAGGAGCACAGAACATGGGGACCACTTTGTTGTTGGTAGTGGTGATGTCCAGAATGATTGTTTTCCTTAACAACCTGATATAGATAATGTTGAAGAACTTGAGGCAAATGAGTATGAGCATGGGCTTGAGGATTTTCCTAACTTGTCTGACAGTAAAGATGAGGAGGCTATTCTAACAAGGGATAATTTGAGGCATTACAATTTGACTCAACATCATGCTGGTATTACTTTTATTTTCTAAATAGTGTTATCCATTTAGTTTTTAAGCATAATTTACATTTACATTTGGTGTTAATGAATATTTGTTTCTATTGTAGATAATATAAACATTGTTGTTCAAGGTGAGGATGATGCAGAAATACAATTTGATGATGAAGTAAGTTACCAAACCATAAGTGATGAAGAGGATAGTGAAGCAGAACATGGTATCAGAAGAAAAGCAAGGCATCCTGTCTTTGATGAAAGTGAAGGCAACTAGGAAATTGAGCTTGGTATGATATTTCTTAATAAGAAACAATTCAAGAAAGCTGTGGGTCAATTGAGCATCAGGGAAAGGAGAGAGATTATATGGAAAAAAAATGATAAGCTCCGGATGAGGGCAGTGTGCAAGAATGAGAAATGTGACTGGAAGATTCTACTGGCGATGGACACTCCTACAAATTCTTAGATGGTAAAAACTTTCTATAATAGTCACACGTGCTCGAGGACTGTTACAAATAAAGTTTGCACATTGTTTGTTGCTGCTGATCATCTAGTTAACACAAGAGAAGTAGCTTTCCTGCGTATGAATAGGGGATATGTTTTTGAGGCAATTCGGGATGATTTAGGTGTGGAATGACACCTGTGCAACGCAAGAAGACAAAGGATAAGTTGAAGAAGAAATTTGAAAGTGTTTCTAATGCTGAATACAACAGGTTATTTGATTACACAAATGAGCTTAGGTCAAAAGATCCAGAAGCAAGCGTTGTGCTTCAGTGTTGTAGACAATCAGCAGATACAACTTCTACATTCTTAAGGATGTACGTTTGTTTCAGTGTGTTGAAGAAGGGATTTCTTGCTGGATGCAGATGTGTAATAGGAGTTGATGGTGCATTCCTCAAAGGTGTCTACAAAGGAGAGTTGCTGACTGTTGTTGGACGGGATGCAAACAATCAAATGTACCCAATAGCTTGGGCTGTAGTGGAGGTTGAGAAAAGGGAGACATAGGAATGGTTTTTTGAAGAACTGAGGAAAGATTTGTTCATGGGTGATGGAAGCAGGTTTTGCATTATGTCTGACCAACAAAAGGTAAGTACCAACGTGTTTTATGACTTATTTAACATTATAAGCAATTGGGTCCTCTAGCACTTCATGTTCATGTGATTTCAGGGACTTACACTTTATATTCATGTGATTTTAGGGACTTACTAAGGCTGTGGAGGAGCTCTTCCCATATGTTGAACACAGGTTCTGTGCTAGACATAAGTACAGCAATTTTAGGAAGCAGCATAAAGGCAAGGAGCTGCAAAAGGCATTTTGGAAGTGTGTTAAGGCACGAACAATACCTGAGTTTAGCAAAGCTTTGGATGAGTTGACATCATTGAAACCTTCTGCAAGGGAACTATGTTAAACATATACCCAAAGCATTGGTGTAGAGCGTTCTTCCAAATAGAGACAAAGTCAGATATAGTTGATAATAACATGTGTGAGGTTTTTAATGGATTGTTAGTTGAATAAAGACATAAGGCTATTGTCTCATTGCATCAAGATTTGAGGGCATTTTGTGGTCAAAGGATAGTGGCAAGAAGGGAATTTGGGGATAGAAAGTTTATAGATGATTTTGGTCCAAGAACATGGGAAAAGCTGGTAGCAAATACGAGGGGAAGTAGAAGGTGCAAATCCTTGTGGCCGGGGAGTAACTGTTATGAAGTTCAAGGGAATGGTGCAGATGTATACATGGTTAATGTGGATGAAAGAAAGTGCACATGCAGGGAATGGGATCTCATTGGAATCCCTTGTAGGCATGCCATGG